TAGCCTCGAGACACTGCCGGCATTCCAGCTTCCCTCTATCTAGGCTTTATGGAGTGTGTGCTATTCAACTCTCAAACCACCAATTCAGGAAATCACCGTTTTAAAGTCCTCTTTCTCCAACACTCCCACCACCTTCTCCTTCTCCTCCTAATGCCCAGTGGGATCCACTCTTGTGACTTTCTGCAATAGCCACATCCTTCACAAAATGAACAGGTCCTTGTTGGCTTCAATGTAAAACAGAACACCCAACAGCAGCAAGATGGTGGAAGCCGACTGATCACAGCCATGGCTGCTATCAGAACACATCTGCAGGTTGTCAGAGGCCTGCAGCCCTCTAGACCCCAGCTCTAGCTCAGTCACGGTACTTACGATCAGCTCAATGTCGCCATCTGAGCCTGCGTAGTCTTCCATTACTGCCGCCTCAAAGCCCAAGTCCTGGATGAGCTGAGCTATCTCAAGTGGCTGGATGACTTCCGGATTATACTTAACCTCTGCTTTTCCGGCCATCAAGGCAACCAGCACGGAGAGAATACCTAAAACCGTCAGGCCACAGCTATAACACTCTAGGCAAGGCCTCTGGAGTGACATGTTCAACATAACCAAACAAAGAAAACGTGTGCCCCAGGAGTCTCTAGAACAGTGGTTCTCAAACTTGGCTGTGCATTAGGATCGCTTGGGGGAGCTTTGAATGATCACCATGACAGGCCCTTAAGCCAGAACAATTAAATCAGAATCTCCCAGGTGTGTGCCAGGCATCTGTTTTTTTAAAGCTCACCAGGTGACTCCTATGAACAGCCAAGCGTGGCAACCACTGTTCTAGAACAATGTTTCTCACACTTTAAAGGCCATATGAATCGCCTGAGGACCTTACTAAACTACAGATTCTGGCTCAGTTGGTCTGGGGTGTTGTCTAAGGTTTTGCAGGTCAACCCAGCTCTCAGGTGATGCCCAGGCTACTGGCCTGGGGCTACTTTGGGTCAGGCTCTAGAAGACACTGATGGGTGCGTGCAACTCAAAGTAAGGGATCTAGTCTGCAGCAAGCAACTACTATTACATAAAAGATAGACTTTTCTCCAGTAACTTTTCATATAAAGAAAAATAATTTTCAAAAGTGGTTTTCCTTACTCTTTTTCACTTTCTGATCACTTTCAGGAGTGAAAAAGAAATCCAACAGGCTATCTTGCTAACACTATTGTGTTAGTTTAAGGGGGGAAAAAAAGGCTTGTTCAAATAAATGAGAGCAATGATATGCTTTAGAAAAGATGCCATGAGGGATAAGAATGAGGGATTTCATACAGGAACAAAAACACAGGCACCATGACATATTAAATTTATGAGCAGCCAGCCCATGGATGACAAAGGAAGTCTTATAACACCTGTTTGAAAATGGTCATTCTAGAGCCCCAGGAAGCTATAAAGCACAGTGAAAGAGAGGCTGGAAAAAGGGTCAGCCTAATTTAGGGTTGATTCTAAGGGCCAGGGAGACCAATCAGAAAGACACATGGAACCACTGGAGTGAGGAAAGAGAGAAAGTTTCCTGACTCTGGTGGCAAGGGAGAGTCATGGTTAAGGTATTTTCCAAGAAAAAAGTTGGGACAGGACTTTTGTTACGCTTTCAGGTTTAAGAGAGTACTGGAAATGTAGTTTGGAGGAGAAGACTTTGGCAATTCCACAGCACTCTGCAGTTTACAGTGACAACAGGATCGAATATTTGAAATTAGAATTTCACAAAATGCAGGCTGTATTCACTTGATACTAAGAGATTGATGGGATTGGAGAGGAAAGATAAAGATACGACTAGGACAAGCTATTTGAGGCCACCCATGGAATGTGCCATGACCTCTGAATTAGATTTCCCATGGCTAACTTACTCAGAGACACATTTTACCTCAAACAAACTAAATACTTCTTAAAAAACAGATGCCAACTACCCGAGAACATTAGACAAACATGTATACTAATCACATAATGAACTTGCTACTAGATTATCAGGGCTACTGATAAATGCAGTCAATGCAAAGTCTGACAGCATGGCGCCCCATTTTGCTGACTGCAGTGTCTGGCAGCTCACATGCAGCATTCCCAGCATAACACAGGTGTACGTCTCTTACCAGTTTCTTTCTGCAGGTTTCTCTCTATGTTAGACACGCAGGACGCACAGGTCATGCCTCTGATCTGTAGAAAGCACCTCTGTGGTGCCACTGTTGCGGAGGCTTGCGGGGACTTTGCCGAGTGGCCAGGGCTATGGTTTTTCAGGGGCCCCTCAGCGTGGAGAGCCACTTCCTGTGTGGACACGGGTGTGCCAGCTGCAGTTTGCGCTGTGGAATTGGCTGCACTGTCGCTTCCAGAACAGTTTGCTAGAATAAAATGTCAGAAACCATTCAAATTAGAAGGACAAACAGTTGGCTTTTCTTTCACAGCAGGAGGTTGAAGCCTGACAATATTCAAAGGAAAGCTGCATGGCTGGCGTTTTCATCATGCTCTCCCTCTCCTCCCACAACCAGAGACAGAGGCACACAATTACAGACACATGAAAATACGCCGCTACTTTAGGCATGGAATGTCTGGCTAGATAAATGCTCTAATTAGATGATGACTGTAACAATAATAAGAACTCACCAGGCACTCTGCTAAGCACATGTATGGCCTCCTTTAATCCTTAAAACAGCTCTGTGGTGAATACTATTATCCCCATTTGATAGATGTAGAAATGAGTTATAAGAAATTAATTTGCCCAAACTCCTCAGCTCATAAATCGTGAAGCTAGCGGAGAACCCGGTCCGTTTCACTCCAGGATATGTCCTTTTAACCACTACCGCATTCCAGTTAGCAGAGGTTCACTCAGTCCCCATGGGAATCAAAATGACCCAAAACACCTTGATTGAGTTGTTTGCCTTTTTCTTACTTTCCGTAGAGTCCTATATATATTCTGGACGTGAATTCTTTGTCAGTTGAATGCACTGCATATATCTGCTTCCAGTGGTCTGTTTTCACCCTTATCTGGTGGTGTCTTTTTTGATAAAAGAAGTCAATGTTAATGAAGCCTAGCTTATCAATCAACCAAACCAACTTTAATTCGTGTGTTGTGCTCTATTAACATATTTGTCTACATCAACATTGAAACTATTCATGATCTTTTCTTCTAGAAGCTCTATTATTTTAATAAATGTCCACATTCAGGCCTATATGTTTCATATCTTGAAATGTTTTGCTCATTTTCTGAAAAGTGCTAAAACTACTTCTATTCACTTTCTAAGAGTCCAGTTGATCGACATTTTCAGCACCTTCATGGAAGACCCTCCAATACTCTGGCCTTATAGGATCCCTGCCTTGTTGAGCAGAGACTATCACCTCACCCATCAGCACAGGTTTACTCTCCTGGACTTTTGTCATTGTTCAAAATGACCCCACTCCTGGGATCTCAAACTCACAAAATCTATTCTGTGGCCCCAACCTCTTAACAATCCAACTCGCACACCCATCAGCCCTCCTGCATCTGTCCAACTCCTCCCTATTTCCTCAGTCCATTACCAGTTTTCTGGATCACCTGCCTTTCTATCCAAATATCGTCATCGACAATTTCAATAATATTCGTGCTATTACAGAGAATCTCATATCCCCTTAGTAACCTACAATTTACACATTGCCATTCTCCAACATTGAGGTATGAGTAAATGCTGGGTCCTTTATCAATCTATGCTAACACTACAGGTGGGCATATAAATTCATTAGGCTTTCTTTCTGGAGGCCTACTTGACAATATGTATTATTAAAAACAATACCTCTAGCTACCTGATACTTAGTAGAGGCAAAATAAATATTTGCGATGAAATGAAATAATGTTTATACCCTGTGACTCAGCATTTACTTTCAGATATTTATCATAAGAAAATAATTAAATATGTGCACAAAGATTAGCCTCAAAGATGCCCATCAGTATTATTTATAATAATCCGCAGACAAAATAGGTGGGAATGGTTCCATAGGAAAATAAGTTATGGTACATCCATATGATGGAATGCTAGGCAGCCATTGAGCGTGGCGTTGCAGACATAAGCATGGACTTGAGGATGTTTATGACAAATAGCGGAGGGAAAAAGATTATAAAACGATGTATAATACAAACCTACATATTTTTAAATATAAATTATATATGCTTTGGGGAAAGTTTAGAAGACCATATACGAAATGAAGTACATCACATGGACTTATTCCAGCTGGAGAAGACAGCAAGTATAAGACCCTGAGGTGAGAACAAGCCTGCTATGAGGAATCCAAAGGGGTCAGAAACGTAATGGGTGAGGGAGGGGGCTTCTAAACCACCATAAGGACTCTTCCTCTTAGGATCTCTGTGCATGCTGGGCAGGGAACACACTGCAAGGCTGAAAACCAGGGAGCAGAGACACCAGTTCAGAGCCTCTTCCAGGATCTGGGAGACATGATGGTGGCTTAGACCAGGGTGCTGACCTGTCCAACCTTATCTCCCATCATTATACAAGCTCCATCCAAGCTAGACTGCTCCAACGACATTCCTGGAGGACTCCTGCCTGTTGGCCTGTGCTTGTGTCTCCTCTGCCCCGTGTGCCTGCTGAAATCCTATCCAAGCCCTGCTCCATCATTACCTCTCCCATCAAGTCTTTGGGAGCCCCACAACCAGGTGCTGGATTTTCTCCTTATCTTCTGAATCCCAAGAACACTTTCCCTATACCTTGTTGCAGTTATTCTAAATCTGCCTTGGATGGTGTGATCTGCTACCCTGTTAAGAGTATGAACCGCAGGCAGGCAGGTGCTGGGCTGCCTCTGGGGACTTCACGGCAGCCAGCACAGTGCCTGGGACCCAGAAGATCCTCAACACATGCTGGGACGAGAGAACAATGCCCTGAAAATGACATTACCCGTTTATAATGGTGAGAAGAGCATGTCATACAGACAGATGACTTTTTCTCACACTATATTCACATATCCATTCATCCGTTTACTCATTCATTCAAAAAATACTTGCCATGCAAACCAGTGAACAAATGCAGAGCTGCCTTCTAGATAAAAACCAGGTCTAAATGCATTTTTAGCTGTCAAATAAGCTGACTGAAATTCAATGCCTGTCACTCGCATATTTGTTCTCAGACCATCCCCTTCCCTCCATTATCCATTATCAAGGGATATGACCCCAGCAAACACTTTTCCCAGGCTCCCTGGTCAACTGGTTTCTGATTAAATTTGGCACACTGGAGGTAAGAAGTGAGAAATGACAGGACAGAAAGGGGGGAAAATGAAAGTGTTTCCCACCTGTCTATTGGGACCCCAGCTCCAGGCCACAGCCTCTCCCTTGGTACTTCCAGAGGCACCAGTTGCCACCAGGCAACCTGCCTGGGGGTCGTGGCTTCTGCTATTATTTATCTCTTGGGTTTCCTTCCCATTCTGTTTGGTTTTTCAGCTCTCTACAATCTCTGTAAATAGTTCCCTAGATTAAAGCCCTCCAGCAGAGCTACCCTGTGAGGCCCTGCTAGTCACAGCCCATTATTTTCTTTCTCTTTCATTTCCTTCACAAATACCTACTATGTGCTGGGCGCTACTGAGTCAAAGGAGAAACAGATCAAGTGGTTTGAAGACTGTCCTCAAGGAGCTCCTAGTCAATCCAGAAAGAGGGATCAAATACAATAATGCCTTTTTAACACTTACATAGCTATAAAAAGTAGTCACCGGCACAATTTACAATTTATACTAAATTATGATTGCCAGGTAAAATACAGAACATCCAGCTAAATTTGAATTTCAGATAAATAACAAATAAGTTTTTAGTATAAGTATCTCCCAAATATTGGGCAGGATATCTTTATACTAAAACATTATTCATTGTTTATCTGAAATTCAAATTAACTAGGTATCCTATATTTTTACTTGCTAAATCTGATCCCTAAATACTTCTTGGGATAAATGCAATTCTCATAATTCTGGCCAACAAAAATCACTGTTTTCTTCTTTTACGTTTATTCAAATCCAATTATTCTGGATTATGTTGTTCAACACAAATTTCTTTTTACTTCCAATAACCTGATTCCACTGTTGAAAGACCTTAAACCTCACACAAATATAACAGATGACAACTCAGTACTTAAACTTCTTACCTTTTGAGTACAGGATTTACTTTTCTATTGTGTTTTCCTTATTGATTTATATATTTTTTTAAAATACACAAACCACAGAAAAAAAACCCCTCCTTCCTGAAACTTGGTACGAAGGACAGAATGAGGCCAGGTCACTCCTCATGACTTACCCACTCACTCCCTTTAAGGGTGTGTGTGTGCAGGAACACATGACAACAGAGCAAACTTTCTAAGGAGACACACTTTATCTCAGTGGCCACTGGAAAGTAAATGTGGGAAACTCACGTCCCGCTGGCCCTGAGCATGGCCAGTGGGCTTTGCCCACGAGCTCTTCTTAGTGACGGGTCGGCCACTTCCCTCCAGCATGAAGCTGCAGCCAGAGGCTGATGAAATTGTCCACATCCTAGTCCAGCTTGCACTTGCTCTGACACACAGGGCCTGTACCTTGGCATTTAAAACATTACCTTGCAGAGTTGTCCCTCACAAAACGTCCACATTCCATCCTTTCTTCAGCCTCTCTCTCAACCACTCCTCCCATCTATCTCCGCACCCCCATCCCTCCTGGGCCTAAGCTGCGGGAAGTCTGCCTTTCCTCACCACCATGCAAGCGGGGCTCCCACGTGACCTGGGCCCTGAAGCAAATCCTACCATGGCCACCTCCTAGTTAAACCTTAGCCTCTTCACGCCACCCTCTTCTCATGTCACTTGTCTGCAAGGTCTGCCAGGTGTCCCTTCCTTCCACACCAGTGCCATCATGTTCCTCCTCTGCTCTTCCCTTCTCACATTCACCCTTCCCAGCGCTTCTGTCATCCCCCCTGGCTCCCACTGCTCAAATCTGCATTTCCAGCCCCTCTCCCCCCAGAATTCAGGACTCAGGAACCCAGCCATCCTCCAGCATCTACCTCAGCTGGGGCTTATCCCAGGCTCTCCCTTCCCTCCCTGGTCCACCCCCATCACACACCCTTAATCTGACCCTAAGCTTGGTGGATCTGACCTTCTGGGTGTCTTTCAAATCCATCTCTTGCTCTCCAGCCCACATCATGTCTCCCCCAGGCTCCTACATGGTCTCACTGCCTCAATCCACACTGCGCCCTGATACTGGCTGGTCTAAAACACAACCTGATCTGTGCTTCCTCTGATTAAAATCCACTGGTGACTTCCCTTGCCTTTGTAATAAAGTCCAAAGGCCGTTTGACATGCAGGCCCCATTCGAGGTGGCCCAGCCACTGTCCCCCCTCGGTCTCACCACCCTCTCGGGGTCCCCACACTCAGGCCACTCTGCTCTCCTCTGCAGCTTCCCAGCACACTGCGCTGCCGCTCGGGCTTCAGGCCACTGCCCATGCTGGTTCCTGGGCCTCCAATGTTCCCGATCACCCCCCTCCCTGGTCCACTGCCCTTCACCGGCTCATTCCCACTCATTCTCCCCGAGGAGCCCTTCCTAAGCCACCAGGCTTGGCTCAGGTGCCCCTCCCCTGCGTTTGCACAGGACTTGCCCCGCTACACTGCAATGGTTTCCTTCTCCTCGGTCCCCCTCTCACTACCACCTAAGCTCCCAGGAGAGACGGTGTGGCACTCACTCAGTAGCCCACAACCCACACAGTCCTGGTGCCCAGAAATGATGCTGCATTTTCTGGGCTCCCGTGTAAGGGACATGAAAGAAAATCAGCAAGTGAACAGTCAATGAGAGGAGAAAGGGGCAGGGAAAGCCACCACCCCGGAAACTCTGTCTAGTGAGGCGACATCAAGGCATGTGGGCACCTTGCCTTGTGAAGATTGCCACCCCCCACCCCTCTTCTCACAGCCACCAGTAGGGCAAAGGAAATCATCATTACATCCTTTCCTTAATTCCCACTTTCAAGAGAATGGGCTCCAGGTGGTGAGACCAAGGCTCTGTTTTTATTTTGTGTAGCAGAGAAATCTTCACAGAAAGTGATAATGGTTCCTTTAGACAGAGAAGGGCCTGATGTTCCCAGGGTACTTAAAAAAACAACAACAAACAACAAAAAAACACACATGCAGAATCAGAGTTCTCTTCAAAAAGGAAGCCAAGGTCTTATCCAAGGACCTTATGTTATAGCATTATAGTCCCAGCTACATAACAGGCAAAAATCTAAACACTTGGAAATTCTATTTCCTCTATCCTGACAAACTTAACACAGGAAGTTGCAGAATTCTATTACCAGGGTCGACATGTGAGGCAGTGAGTATGGCTCACCTGTCCAACCACGCAGGTACTATCGCATAAGACACAAAGAGAAAGGGAACGACTCCAGAGTGCACGTCAAATGTAGCAACTACGTACCAGAAACGACCGAAGCCTCAAACCCCATGTCTTCTACAGCAGCTCGGAGTTCTTCTGGGTTAATTACAGAGGGATCATAGAGAATCGCTCCAGTCGCTTCGGCCAACGAGACTGATATTTGCTGCACGCCTTCCCTTTGGGAGATCAAGCCTTCGATGGATTGGACACAGGACGCACAGGTCATGCCGGCAATGGCAAGCACCAGGGTACAGCACGTGCCTTGCACCTGGGTACTCTGGCAGGGGGCTGGGGAGTGGTGTGTGGAAGACCTGTTATCTGTCCCACTCCCTTCTGCTCCATCAGGAAGAGAAACTTTAAAGTTCCCTGGTGGAAGAGCCTCAATGGCCCTCTGCAGAGCCCCTGGGGAGATACGAGAAGGGTCATACTGTACTTGGGCAGTTCTGTTCTCCAAGGACACTTGAATATTTTGAACTCCTGGGAGTTGGCCAATATTTTCTTCAATATTCCGGACACAAGAAGTACAGTGCATTCCATCTACTCTCAGTTGCAGCATGACCACATGGCTCCCTTGGTGTCCCACGGTCTTTGAGTTACTGGCATTCTGGTTAATAGAAGTTGAAGGTGTCTTTGGGTTGGTGCTCTGTAACCGCCCAATATCAATTGGTCCCAGGCTCACGGGAGCCACTTTGTTCTTGATGACAGCTTCAAACCCCATGTCGTTTACATGGTCCCTGAGGTCTTGGGGTTGAATAAGATAAGGCTGATATGTGATGACTGCCTCTTGGTTGCTCAGTGAGACTCTGACTCTCACTACTCCTTGCAGTTTCCCGATCTTGCCTTCTATGGAGCTGACACAGGACTGGCAAGTCATGCCCTCCACTCGCAGCTTGACCATGGCCTCCAGGGAGGGCGAGGACCTGGAAGGCCAGGAGCCAGCCTTTCCTTCTGCGATGCTGGCCTCAAAGCCCATGTCCTCAATTTGACAGCAAACCTGTGGCAGGCTCATGACCGACGGCACATATTTCACAGTTGCACTGCCTTGTTCCAGGGAAACCTTAATGCTCACAATGCCTTTCAAACTGGAAATCCTGCCCTCAATTGACTTTACACATGACTGGCAGGTCATGCCCAATATGCTGATGGTGCCAGTGGATGTCTGCGGAGGGCACACACCATCCAGACTACCTTCATAGCCAGCATTGTCAAAGGCAAAACTCTGCTTCATTTCTGGTTCCCGGCCCCTAGCAGGCAAAGGAAGCTTAGACAGGATCTAAAAGGAAAAGAAATAACATTTTTTATCCTTAAAACTAAATTTTTCCCCAAATATCCCAGCTTGTCTGGCACTGAGAAAAAGGAAAACAATGCCACTGGTGTCAAAACATCCCAAGGGTCCAAGAGCAGAAAATGCAGGGAAAGAAAGCTATAAAGACATTACAGTTGACCCTTGAACAACTTGAGGGTTAGGGGCGCCAACACCTATGCAGTCAAAAATCTGTGTATAACTTTGACTCTGTAAAAACTTAACTACCCTTAGCCCTCCACAGCCATAGATTCCTAACCTCGGATCTAAAAAGTTGATCCTTGAACAACACGAGTTAGAGCCACGCAGGTCCACTTATCCGTGTTATTCAAGGGTCACCTCTATTTAGCAAGTGAAAGGGTTCAGATGGGTTCCTTTTAGCTCCGATATTTTGTGACTCTGAACCTAGAAATCAACTTGCCCACCTTAGTGAAATGTCTTTCTTACCTAGAAGATGTGGAGGGTTCTGTAGGAAAGGAGGAGAGCGTGACACAGCTTACCGAGACAGAACAAGTATGGTGGGCCTATGACAGAGACAGTAGGCACAGCAGCCCATGGGTGTCCTAAGAGAGCCTCCCCCGCAACTGGCTAATACCTGAAACCTACTCCACAGAACTCAGTTCTTTCAGCTCCAACTTTAGGAGCTGCTGCAATGCAAATACAAATATTAGGTAACACCCTAATTCTGTATCTCTTTCTAGGGGTGTCTATCTCAATCTGTTAGTAGGGGTTAACTATCCTTAATAAACACAGGCACATGTTCGAAATGCAGACTTCCCAGGCCCCAGAGGGTCAGACCACATGCCTGTGAAAAAAAGTCTGGAAGTACGCTCCCTGAGCCCTGGGCTAAGAAAGCCCAAAGGGGGAAAGCTGGAAGAACAGGAAGTTAAGTGTTAACAAGGAACTTCTCAGTTCTGTCTCCTCTGGGTGTCACTCCTAGGTATTCAGGACTGCTGTAGTCATTACATAAAATTACAAGTGCATCACCAAATTAAATGGACCCATTTTCTTAATGTACCACAGTACAAGTGTCATTTCCCAATTTCTTCTCATAATGATGTGGCCTCAGCCATTCTATTAACATGACATGATTTTCCTTTCACAGGGTCCCACTCTCTTAATTAGATACCAGTACTATTACATGTTTCAGAAATTTGGGAACAGGCCTTATATATGGTACATGACTTAAAAACAAACAAAAAAAAGCATGTCTTTAGATTTTGAGCCGCTTAACAGGATGAAAATTTAAATAATTTTTAAAGTAGAACTCAAATGTTTACGGGGCCAGCCAAGTGGCACGTTGGTTAGGAGTTGGCTTCGGATGCCAGATCTGAGCAGCAGGGCCCCAGTTCGCATCCCACATGAGGGCCAGTGATGCTGCGCCCTCTACAGCTAAGATGGTGAACAACAGCTCGACCTGGAACTGGGCTGCCGTGAGTCGCCGGCGACGGCATAGGCTGCAGTGGGGCTGGCCGGCAGTGGGCATGAGCTTTCATGAGCTGCCGTGAGCTGCCGTGAGCCGCCATGAGCAGCCGTCCAATGGCTGGTGAGCAACTGCCTCATCCGGGAAGAGCGCAATGATAACACCAACATGGGCCAGTGAAGCGACGTCCTCCAGAACTACACTGAAGAACAAAAGGACAGCAACTTGTCTGTTCCCCTTCCCTGATTCCCCAATGCTGTTCCCCTCCTCCCCCAATTCCCCAATAAAAAAATCTTACAAAAAAAAAAGAACATAAATGTTTATTTGTATATCCACAAAGGAAATTATAAGCTACTTTAAGATTAATAATTATAAAGAATTGTTTTTTAAAATATTCACTACAGCATTTCCTAAAATAGTATAGAAAAATAGTATGGGATAGCAACTCAAAACAGTTTGTTGAATTCAATAAATAAACTGAAATTATCTGTGGCATAAATATAGAAATCGTGTATAAGGATGACATGGCATAACAATATTAATGGATAACTGGGAAATCTAAAGCCACTTCAGAAACCTATCTGGAAAAATATAAATTTAGAACCTATATATCAGGTCATTTCAGATAGATTAAAGAAGACTTAAAAAGCAAAATAATAAAAATAGTAGAAGAAAACATAGAAGCATGTCTATTATTAATATAATCTGAGTGGAGAAAGCCTAAATATGACAAAACAAAACAAGAAAATCCAGAAGCTATAAAATACTGATAAACAAGTATCTAACCACAATAAGAGAAAAAAATTGCTCAGACCAGGGCAAAAGATAAATAAGAAAGTGAGGGGAAAAAAAAAGATTTGCTTCACATTAAGCAAACTAAATACTAATTTCTTTAATATATAATGAGCTCCTTCAAATAAGAAAAAGGTCAACAATCCAACAGAAAAAGAAGCAGTTCATTAAAGAGGAAATGCAAATGGCTTTTCAATATATGAAAAAACTATTAAAGGAGAAATGTAACATTCCAACCTCACTGTGGCACAGTTTTCACTACTCGGGTTGGCACCTATCAACTGAATTCCCAGAGCCAGTGGGAGTGTCACTTCTCTGGAGAGCAACTTGGCAATGCCTATTGAAATTACAAGTTCATATATTCTTTGACCCAGCAACTCTATGTCTAAGAATTTAGCCAATAAATGTTTATGTGCAAAAAGAAGCATGCGGCAAAGGACTGGAGACAACATAAATGTCCATCTATTTATTAGATGATTAATTATTGCACAGACATACAATGGAATACTATACAGCTCTTACAAAGAATGAGGCAACCCTGAAAATACTAAATAGACTGATATCAATCTATCATTCAGTGAAAAATGCAAGGCACAAAATATATAGTGTTGTTTCAGTTATCTGCGGCTGCATAACAAGCCAAATCCAGTGGCTTATAACGAATGCTCACATTTTTCAATTTGGACAGGACTCAGTAGGGAAAGCTTGTCTGTGCTCCACATAGCATCACTTGGAGTGGCTTCAGTGGGGCTGGAGGGTTCCACTTCCAAGATGGTTCAGTCATCATATGGCTGACAGGTTGATGCCTGCTTGCCTGCAAGCTGTTGGCAGGGGCCTCAGTTCTCTTCCAGTGTAGCCTCTCCACTGGCTAGGCTGGGTACCTCACAATTGGTGGTTTCTGGGTTCTGACACAAGTATCACAATAGTAAGCATTCCCAGAACAGGTCCCAATGTATAAGCACTTATCAAGCCTGTCCCTGCATCACACTTGCTAGTTCACCATTAGCCAAAGCCAGTCACATGGCCAAGCTCAGCCAATATAAGAGGGAGTTAGATAGGGCTTAAGTACAGGGAGTTCATTGGGAGGGCCACCAAAATAAGTCTATCACAGTATGCTAGCATTATCTGTGTGAGAAAAAGAATGTTATAAGGCCGGCGGAGTGGCATGTTGGTTAAGAGTTGGTTTGGGACGCCAGCTCTGAGCAGCAGGGCCCCGGTTTGGATCCCACATGAGGGCCAGTGGCACTGCGCCCTCTACAGCTAAGATGGCCAACGACAGCTCAACCTGGATTTGGGCTGCCGTGAGTCTCCAGCAACGGCGTAGGCTGCAGCAGGGCTGCAGTGGGCTGCTATGAGCTACCGTTAGTGGCTGGCAGCCAGCATGAGCTGCCAGCAGCTGGCGTGAGCTGCCATCCAATGGCTGGTGAGCAGCTGCCTCACCCAGGAAGATCATAATAATACCAACATGGGCCAGTGAATCGAAATCCTCCACAACTAAACTGAAAACAAAAGGACAGCAACTTGTCTGTTTCCCTTCCCCGAGTCCCCAACGCTGTTCCCCTCTCCCAATTCCCAAATAAAACCTTAAAAAAAAAAAGAATATCATAACCATAGATGCTTGTCTATGCATGGATTATCTCTGGGCGAATACATAAGAAACTGGTGCAAATCTTGAGGAGGACTGAACAGTTTAAGGGATCAGGGGGCTAGGGTACAGGAGTGGAAAAGAAGAGTTATATGCATTTTTCACTGTACAACTTAGGGTACAATGCACATGTGTTACCAAACTTCAAAAAATGATTAATTTGAAATGAAAATAAAATAACACGAGCATAAAGGAGATCCAGAACAGTGACTTGATTGTAATTGGTATAAATTAAATATTTGTTTAACTGAAAAAGATGAAGAAAAAACTAAGACGATGCCCAAAGACATTCACTTTATCATCTTATTTAGAAGAAATTGCCTCCTTGTTATAAGACATAACCCTCAATCACCCAGTCTGCTGGAAAAATAAAGCCCAAATGATTTGCTCCCCGATTTACTTTCTTGGTCCTAGGTCTAGGTGTAGTTACAACTCCCCAAACCCCAAACGACAATGCTGGCACTTAATCCCTGGATTACTGATTCTATGCTCCTGCCAAAAGGGTTTGCAGGAGTATTGGAAGCTATTTGTCTGTAGCAAACAATACTCAGAGGCCCCCTTCTAGACAGGTAAGTTTCTGAGGACAAGCAGTTAAGGAGAACAGAGCTTTGTAAATAACACAACTTTATGAAACACCACAGTACCTGCTGGTTTACAAGCAATCGCATAACGGTTGTCGGGTGTTTGGATAGTTTTATAAGTGTACACTTGTGGTGTGTGGTGTGTATATGTGTGTGTGTGTGTGTGTGTGCGCACATGCGCACACACACTTTTAATTCCATTCCTCAAGACAATCTTTGGTGGGGAGAAAAACTCTCATCTAATGAGCTCAAATAAACAAATAAGTTTAGGGTTCAGGGCTCATCAAGCAATCATGGACACTGGAGAGTGGGCCCAGGGTACAAATTGTGTGTCCAGGGAAAACCTTGTGGAAGCCCTAGTATTGTCTAATTCCTACTAAGTGATACATATACTCCTGAGGACAAACATGCAGGCCTAACACCAGGCTGGGGGAGAACTTTTGCTAGCTCTTGAATTTTAATAAACTATGAATATGATAGGCATCAGGATTAGAAGGAACTGGAAACATAGGAGAAGGAGTGCATTTCA